ACAGCACGGCTTTCAACACATTAGTGAATAGTTTTAACAAAATTGGATAACATTTTAAAATCTAATTTAATTTATAATAAAATAATAAAATTTGAATAAAGTTTTCGTTTTTTACTAAACATTTGTGTGATTATTATTTTATGCCACATAAATGAGTATTACCGTCAAAGTACAAAGTATTATAAAAATGTTTGACATTAATTTAATATACCGTAATTGGAAATGTAATATGGTCAAGTGATATTACACAATATATCAAAGACCCAAGCACTAATTGTTAGTATTTTAAATTTTTAAGTTTCATATGTGACAAGATAATTAAATGATAGAAGTAAAAATTAAATACCCTTAATTAATTTAAAGTTTAATAAAATAATAAATTTCACATTACTTAAATATATTAACATTTAAGCATCAGTGAATTATAGTTATACTGTATAACTTATACACTTGAAGTCCCAAAAGTATTAAACCAATATTATATTTATTATTTAATTTTATATCTAACTGTAAGCAAAAAACGCTTAAAACGGTATTAACCTTTGTTAATCTAGTTTCTTTAAATTGTTTTTTGGGTAATATTAAGGGATTCCTTATATTTAAAATATAGTCTCTAAATATACTGTTGTTTATTATGTTACCAATAGGATACCATGAAATGGATGAGCTTGCTTGTTTTGTTGGTGGTGGCAGCTATGATCCAATCGATAATATCCGGTAACATCGATAAACAAGCTGAATTTGTCCTTGATGAAGTTCTAGATTTGCTATCTAACGGTGAACAAACAAAAAACAATGACTAATCGCACCGTTATCAGGCAGGTTAGACAATAACGCACCTGGGTTACATTTAAGCTAATTCTATTTGTATTTGAATTCACATGAATATGAAATGTACCAGTATAACTTATGTAAAACTATAAAATAAATGTAACTTTTCTAATGGCAATACTTGATTGTTAAGTGATTTATAAAGTACTGTATGTTTGCGCGAAAGTTTAGTTTAGTTTTAAATTTAGATGTTTTGCCAAAACAAGTGGTTTTGTGCCATAAGTACGGTTAGCAACGAGTTTAAGGACAGGGAATGGGTGTAGATATTGGTCACCCTTTCAAAGGTTATACACTTTTATTTCGCATAAATGAGTATTAAAAATACAATAATGTTAAACAATTATAATTAAAAGCATAATTAAGAGCTTATTTAGTGGTCGTACGTAAAAGTATCTACCATGGTGCAATTGTCTGTTTGTGCAAATTTGATTATATAAATAGTAGATAATAGGTAAATTAAGCGGCGATAACTAAAATTAAATAGATTACCTGTGTAATTTACAAGTTTAAATTTTGTTTCAAAAGTTATGATAGCTCAAGTTGTCATCATTTATAATATGAAATAAACATTTCACATTAGAACATTTTAACGCCCTTTTTCCAATCAAAACTGCTTAATACAGCGCTTTAATTTGCAAAAAGGGCGTACTACGATATTCAATACTTCACTTTTCCCATTGCAATAATATTGGCGCCAATTGTCTTAATAGAAATTGACATCATTTATGACATAACCATATGAGTAGTGAACCAAACCATAGGGACACATACGATGATAGGGCCCGAGAGATGTATTACACAATTTTCGCGCTCAAAACAGTGTAAAACACTTTACAANGCGCTCAAAACAGTGTAAAACACTTTACAATACATACGCTATGGTTAGCGTTGAGTTGCGCCGTTCCGCACGCACTGCCAAACAAAGCCATTTTGAATGTAAACACAATTTGTGTGAAAATTATGATTACTTTTAGTTATCGTAAACTTATAGCTTCACATCATTTTCATTTCATTTAATGTTTTAGTCTTAATATAAATTATATACAAATATATCTCATATATACATAATATATAATCATTTGGACGACTAATCCGTGTCTGAACGCCACCATCGATGCCATGAAATGAATGGACGCCTGAGATCTTGTGTCAAGTTTTTGACGTTTGTGTGAATCGTTTGCCGCTTACGAGGGCTTCAATTGACCGCAAAACCCGCCGTTCATTGCAGTCATAAACACGCGATATGTATATAAAACAGGTATTCATAGCCATGACCACCACCACAGACCACTAATCTCTCGCATCTGTTCCCACCATCAGGTGATCATCAATGGGTTCCGCTCATACCGGGAGCAGACGGTTGTGGAGCCGTTCAGCGCCCGGCATAACGTGATCGTCGGCCGCAACGGGTCCGGCAAAAGCAACTT